TGGCTTTATTGATAAATCACAGAATTACAAACACTTCAGCCTAGGTGTTCTTCTTGTCAAACATTGCTGTTTTAAGGGTTTCCTTGCGGAGATCTCTCTGACCTACAGCCCAGTTCCTTTTACCCAAATTGCCACTCCTGCTTCCCTTATTATCCAGGGTGGAGTTAATGAGCTGTACCTGCCGCAGTCAGCATTTTCCTGGAGGATTCTAACACCTTCTGATGGGGTGGGGAAGCAGAAGAACCTGTCCATATGGTACAGTGCCCTTATTTGTAGTTTTTTTAGAGAAGCCAATAATTGAATGGATATGGAGACTGTATATATCTTTTGAAATAGGCTAACTGGAATTAAGTTTGAGACACATAACAGAAGATATGATGTGCATGGTCACTCTCTGTGTTGTACCTGTCTAAGAACTTGGTTATTGACATATGACCACAGTTTGAGGTCTATAAAGGGAACAACAGAGCTGTTTGAGTTGGTGTAGGAAAAGTTGAAAAAAAGTTCAATGCAGGCTGTAGAACCTTATTTTTATTTCTTTCCTCAAAGGATGTTGGGAATACAGAAACAGTGAATAAGCAAATTATACCGAAAATGTATTTGACTTTGCCACCTGGACTTCACTAAGACATGCAATGCATACCAGTCATTTCAAAGCTACCAGCTTCTAAATATTTTAAATTACATGTTAGCTTTAAATCTTTGTCTAAAACAGTTAATCACAGAACTGTAGCTGACAGAAAATATCAGTTAAAATTTTGATGCTGACATGAGACAACATGTTTTTATTTCAACTATAACAGATGGCATTTACACTCCAAACTAAGGCTCCATTATGCACAAATGTTAACATGGGAACATAGGAATTGCACACTAGATCAAACCCGTGGTCTATCTGGTCCTGCATTCCATCCCCAACCATGAACCCCGAAGCATGAGGTTTAATGTCTCTTCCTCACTTTGTTAGCATTAATGGTTATAACTCTGGGTATTTTTAATATCCATATAAATATCCAATCTCTTTTTGGATCTTGCCAGGTTTTTGGCTTTAATGACATCCCATAACAATGAGTTCCACAACTTAATTATGCATTGAGTGAAAAAAGTATTTCCTTTTATTGGTTTTGACTTTACCACCTTTACATTTCATTGAATAGCCTCTTGTTCTTTTGTTATGAAACAGGGAAAAGCAAAGCTCCTGATCTCTATTCCATTCATTCTTTATATATACCATGTGCTCTCTTATTCATCTCCTTTCTAAGGAAACAATCCAGATTTTTTCAATCTGTCTTCATTTGAAAGTTTTCCCATACCCCTAATCCTTTTACATTGCTCTTCTCCGAACCCCCTGTAATTCTGAAATGTTATATGCCGTTGACTATGTGTCTGTAACCCGTCACCCTTTTGGGAAGTAGGAACTGCCTCAACAACCTTCAAAATAAGTGACTGGAATGCAGGAGGAAAGGGCAGGCTTTGCTGAGGGCTGAAGTGTCAACAGCAAAAAAAGTCACTTCTCACTTCCATCCCTTTTGATTTAAATTAATAGCTGCCCAGTGGTACTTCTTTGCCTACATATTTAACCACACAGAAGAGGTCTGGTCCTTTGGCTTTCTGCTGATGCACATCAACAACATTAATAAAGCCTGTGTGCAAACAGAGGCGTAGGAGTAAGGAGCAGCCAGGGTGTGAACTAAAGGCACAAAAACTTGGCTGCATCTCCTGGTTGCATTTGTCATTAGAATCTGTGAAATTCATTTCCTGTCCTATCACCTGATCACTCTAAAACCTGAATATCCGTCTTGCAAGCCAACAATGATTTTTTTTAGGTGTGAGAGACCTGAGTAGCCTCTTATGTAACAGAAGCAGTTACATATTTTGAATCAAAACTAGTTGCCCATAAATATTCAAACACTGTGTATAGTATGTTCATTTTGGACCTAAATATTTTGCAAGTGAACTACATTTTATAGGGGGTGGGAGGGAGGAGGAATGTTCCTGCACGCATATGGTTTGTTTCAGGCCAAAACATTTTTTTCGATGACTGAGTTGTAAGCCTTTAAAAACAGGTTTACAATGGAAGTGCTCACAGGCTAACTGGATCTTGTTATAATGTCATACTCACAATATCCAATTCTCTTTTGTAGTCACACAGCTCCGTTATAATGCATCATGGCTAGTTCTGTGAGACATGCTGCTCTTCCAAACGTATTCAGGGAATACAGCACCACAACATCCTCTTGTGTGCACTTAGTAAAAAGAAATATGCAAGGCTGAGTAGTTCTGAACCATGTGGTGTGCCAGCTTGCTCCCTGTCCTGCCAATTGTATAAAAATTATTTGGCAATCAAGAACTGTCTCTTGTTGAAAGGGTGCTTGCTAGCTTTATGTGATGTTCCTTTGTGAAAGTTCATGCACAGGGCCGTACTTAGGCATACACAGCATATGCGACTGCGTAGGGCACCTGAAAATTTGGGGCACCATTCCCCTCACTGACTGCTGCTGGAATCCTCTCTTCTCTGGCCCCTCCCCTGCGCTGGGCCAGGAGGCTTCTGCCGGCTCCCAACCCTGCCCCCTCCCTCCCCCACTCCCCAACACACTGTAACACACTGGCTCTGTCTCACACACACACACCTGTATTATTGTTGTTATTACTGCTTGGTACTTCCTGTCAAAATGCTCGTGATGAGCCAGGAGTGGCTAGGGACTGCAGGAGGGCCGTGGGCTCTGGCAAGATGCAGCCCCCATGTTACAGTGCGAAGCCTGCCTTGAGCCATTGCCGCAGTGTTTGCGGTGTACGAAGCTTGAAGCTCGGTGTGTGTCAGCAATGGGGAGGTTCCGGGAGTCCATGGGCGGGGGTGGTGGCTGTGCCCCTTCAACACACTGGGGTCAGTGGCACCAGCTGGGGACCGCCTTCAGTGGAGCATCGGGGCACCAGTTTAATAATACTGTGTAGGGCCCAGAAATCCTAAGGATGGCCCTGGTCATGCAGCATGTTTAAATAAGTCTAAAATGTTCTCAGAATAGTTTTCTGTCTTGGGTAATAATTTCCAAACAAACATTTTTAACCACGTTCCAAGAACCACAACTTTTTTTCCTTCTAAGATCAAAGAATGATGTAGGGAAAAAAAATAAAAACCTACCCTTTCACTCAGAGAATCTCAGACATCTTTTTATCTGGCAAATGGCAAACTAACTACAGTGCCAAACTCCTTCAGAATCGGAAACAATGCAATGTTCCTCCTAATTACGTACTTGGAAACAGAGGAATAAATCTCTTGGTGCTTGTAACCAAGGTGAAATACATGATCCCTTCCTTTCTCATGCATACATGTACATGCTTTTATGCTGTTTCTGGCTCTAAAAGGTTGTAAGACCCCAACAGGGTCCTAGTTTGATCTTGCAGCTTCTGGACCTGAGTATATATTCCCATCCTCCCATTTAGTGAATTTCACAAGTTAATCACTGGCTTATTTTTTTGCTTATACAGAAGGTGTTCACTGCAAATATGAAATGATATCTGTAAACCAGTTTAGCACTGGTAACTGAACGACCTCTTCTCATGAACTACTGCCGCTGCTCTGTAGGTGTCTTATCATGTGTTATACAGGAGGTCAGACTAGAAGATCACAATAGTCCCTCCTGGCCTTGGACTCTATGAAACTAGTCATCAGTTACTACCTGAGGAATTCAAAGTGCCCATAGTTACAATATTGTGTGTATGCAATTTAACTTCACTGCAGGATCAGGGCTTAAGCCCGATTCCACAAGGTAAGCACATCCCTGACTTTCATTGTGTGAATAACCTCATTGACTTTGATGGCACTACTCCCCTTGGCTTTAAAGATACGATGCCCATCCCCAGCAGCCCCCGGGGCTGCATTGGCACTTGCAGCACCTCTCTGCAACAGGGCCAAATCCTGCAGTCCTCACTCAGGTTTCAGAGTAGCAGTCATGTTAGTCTGTATCCGCAAAAAGGAGGACTGGTGGCACCTTCGAGACTAACCAATTTGTTTGAGCATAAGCTTTCTTGAGCTACAGCTCACTTCATTGGATGCATCTGATGAAGTGGGCTGTAGCTCACGAAAGCTTATGCTCAAATAAATTGGTTAGTCTCTAAGGTGCTACAAGTCCTCCTTTTCTTTTCACCTTACCTGATCACTCTCGTTACAGTGTGTATGGTAACGCCCATTGTTTCATGTTCTTTATGTATATAAATCTCCCCACTGTATTTTCCACTGAATGCATCCGATGAAGTGAGCTGTAGCTCACGAAAGCTTATGCTCAAATAAATTGGTTAGTCTCTAAGGTGCCACAAGTCCTCTTCTTTTAGTCCTCACTCCGTTTTCCCCAGGCAAAACAGGGGGACCAGATAGCAAGTATGAAATATCAGGGCACTTTTTTTCTTCTCTTGCAGGGGAGTAGAGGGAGGTATCCTTGCCTATATAACTCCAAACCCCTAACGCAGGGGACGGTCCCGATAATAGCCGGAGGTCTGGCCCCCCTAACTCCCACGGACTGCAATAAGCAGCAGTACCCGCGATAAGGCAGGATCACACCCCACCCCGTGCGGGGTCGCCTCTGGCCCCGGTGTCCGTTTGACCCCCTGGGGCTCTGGGCTGCCACCGCCAGCGAGAGGCAGTCAGCACGGACCGTGCAGTGGGGACCCCGCCCCAGGGCGGGTGCAGGCAGCATCCTCCGGGGCACGGCTGCTGGCCTGGAGCGGGCCCCCCCGCCACCCACTCACTTTGCAGCGAGGCGACGCTCGCGGGCGGAGGAGGGGGAAGGGCGCCCCCCGCGCAACGGCTAGGCTCCGAATGCTCAGCCGGCTGAGGACGTTACAAAGGACGTGCATCACACCCACGCCATGGCTTACGTCATCCCCCGCCTCCCCCACACCGCCCGCTCCACGTGCGCCTCCCATCCCCCCCTCCCCGTGCCGGGGATTCTCCAGTCCGGCCTGACGTCATTCCCATGCTGCATCGGTGCCGCCCCCTCCCCGGCCGCCATGTTGGGGGAGGGGGCGCGGTGCGGGCAGAGCGGAGCCGCCCCCGCCGGGCAGCAGCAGTAGCAGCAGAGCCAGTTCCTGCGCCGCCGCCGCGCTCTATGGGCCGGCGGAGGGGACCCGCCGGCTCGGCAGCGCGCTGCCCTTGAGGCCGCAGAAGCAGTAGCCGCCGCCGCGGAGCCGGGACATGAGCAGCGGCTGCGAGCGGCGGCGGCTCCCCGGCTAGCGGGCGCGGGGACATGGTGCCGTTCGCCCCTCTGGAGGACGCGGAGGAGCCGGAGCCCTGCCACAAAATGGAGCTGTGCATGAGTGGCGGCGAGGTCAGTGCGGGGCTCGGCCGGGGGCGGGCGCCGCGCAGCAGGAATGGGGGCGCCCGGCGGGCACCTGCTGTCTCCGCCCCACTCCCACGCTTGGGTCTGGCTGCTGGGGCAGCGGGCCGGAGAGCGTAAAGCTTGGAGCCCCCGGAGACACTCAGCCCTTCCTTGCCTCTCATCTGCTGATCTGCCGCCGGGAGCCTACCTGACCCCCACCCTGAGACTGTCAGTCCGTATCAGCCCCCCCACCCTGCGTCTGTCAGACCTCACCGGCCCCCCGATCCCGTGCTTGAGAGAGCCCACCTACCCCCCGTCCCGGTCCTGTCCCCTAGAGAGCTCACTTTCCCCCCACCAAGAGACTGTCCGCCCCCGTCTGCTTCCCCTGAGAGCCTCCCTGCCCTTCACTTCGAGATCCTGCTCTCCCTAGCCCAAGTCTGGCAACCCCCCAGCCCAAGTCTAGCAGTCCTTCCCCAGAATTCCTCTGCACGCTCTTCCTCCTCTAGTTCCCCTCAGAGCCCGTGTGTGTCTCCACCCTTGAATCCTGCTGCCCCCAACTGCCACCTCTGGAGAGCCTGCTCATGCTTCACCCGGATGCTCTCCCAAAGAGCCCATGTGCCCCTTTCCCCTAGATCCTGCTGCCATCCCCTGAGAGCCCACCTGCCCCATCCTGATCTTGCTTTTCCCAGCTCCTGTTCCCCTAGATGTGGCTGTGACTCTCCTGAGAGCTCTGCTGTTCCTCACCCTTATTTTCCTGGCCCCCAAGAGACCACTTGCCCTTCACCCCAATTCTGCTGCCTGAAACAACCCAGCTAGGTCCCTCCTGTTACTCCAATCCTGCTGCCTCCAGCCACCCCCCCCCCCCCCCCAGTGCCTACTATTCTTCATCTTCCTGCTGCCCCCAGTCAGACTGAATAGATCCTGCATACTCCTCATCCTGGCCATCCTTAGCCACCCCTAGATCCCAGCTACACAGTGAATTTGACCTCATATTTTGAGAGCCTACTCATCCTAAATTGCCCCTTCAGGCATCACCTGAACTGTGCATTCCTGAGGTTTCAAAGTGCCCATTAACCTGTCCATCCCAAAGAACTTGAGACTTCCCCCGACTCATCCCCTCAACTATTCCCCTGAGGCACCAGTCACTTCCTAAACCACCACCTTGAACTGTTCCCATCCCCTTCAGTTAGCTGCCACCTCCTTACACCCAGAGCCCTGTTTCTAGGCTCAGCAGGAGCTGACAGACCTCTTCTCTCATGGATTTATGCTACCTGTAACACGTGCAAAGTTATAGCAGTGTCAGCTTCTCTTTGGATGAATTAGTGGTCATTGAGTGTGAGATGTTAATTTGATGTGGTGCTTAGTTCTGTGTGTGTTTAACTTAACAATTGCCAAGCTATTAGGTTGTGGTGAAGAAAATGCTGTTTGGTATTGGACTTCCTATAAACAATCCTGGTAATTTAAACACTCTTGCTGCTGTTATAGTTTTGTTAGACATTTATTTGGGTTTTTCTGATTGCAAAATTTTACCAATTAGCCTGTATTTTTGTGCTTGCATACAGAGGCTACTACCACATTTCTCGTTAAATAAACATAGAATACCTGCCAATTAGTGATTTATAGGGAGAAGTCTGAGATGAAGCAAAGGTTTGGGAACTTAGCAGTCGCAGAGTAAAATCAAAAGCTCTTGCTAGAGGAGTTTAAATAGTGCTTAAGCCTTACAGTTTCCTTACTTCCTCTTAAACAGAGACCTAGGCAGAAGTGGAGCACCAAATGCGATTTAGCTGCACTGTGTAATTTTTATATATGTATTTAGTACTGTATTTATCTAGTAGTAACAGTTCAGTATTATTATTTTATGCACTTAAATGTAGAAATCAGAAGTGCACTGGAACCTGGGATTCCAGAGTTGTCAGGTAAGACAGTTGAACTGAATGATCACACGTATGTGTCTGAGGGATTGATTTACATGTTACACATATGGAAGATGTTTTCTAAGTAAAAGCTTCTAAAAACAGGTCTCACTCACTTCCTGTGGTACATTGGGCTGTACTTAGTGAGACAGTGCGTGCCTTGGATATTAAAGGTTTGGAGGGAATGAACTGTTCGTTATGAATTCATACAACTGTCTTAGATTTTTGGACGCACTGTAATTCCAGAACAGAAATTAGTATGCATGATGTTAAAACCAAATTGTGTTTGCCTAACAGTCTTTATTTTATATTCTCCTTTTACGTTTTAAATGCACAAAGGACATTTCCTTGCAGCTGCATTTTCATAAACTAAAAATGCAAATATTTACCATTTTGCAATATACTATTTTGTATTAATTGGATCACACACAGACAGTAGCATTTTTTGAGTTCCTTTTAGAAAGTCCCTGTCCACTCAGTAACTGGATTTAAACTGTAGTTTATTTTGAGTTAAATCTTTTTTATATTGGTGGGGTTTGATCCTCTACGTAAATGTGTAGAATTAACCTTAATTTGTAGTGCATCATGCCACTTCATGTTTTTGATTTGGAGGGTCTAAAGTGACCATGGACTCTGTGGAGTTGCAAGGAGTTAATAGTGGTAGTTTTTCAATAACTTAGATTTTGCAGGGCAGGTCATTTACTCTAGTATCAGTGCTCCAGTCTGTTGGGTTAAATAGTTTAAGGTGACCATTCAGAAATTATCTTTGAGGATACGCTTGTTGGCTAAATTTATCCCATGTTTTAAGGTAGATAAATACATTTCCAGTGAAATGGCACTTATTTTTTGAACTGACAATTGAGGAGGGAAAATAAAATATTTATTATGGGAAGTACTGTTGTTTTAAGGCATAAAACCAACTTCTAAGGAGTTAGAAATAAGTTTTCCCTGTGGATAATTTATTCAGAGTTGCCCAGTTCAGTTTTTCTGCACTTATCCTCTCAAGCATCAGAGGCACTGGACTAAATGGACTCTGGTCTTATTTGGTGTGGTAATTCTTATGTTCCTGTGACAAAAATAAGAAGTCACTTAGTAATCACTGACACTGTTTCCTATAAACTGTCCTCTTCTAAATGAGTGAGTTAAGGATGTTAAGGATCTCTGTCAAGTAGTTTACGCTTCATATGTACGGCGAATGAAATATATTTTTACAACAGTCTGTATACACAAATGTTTTCATGTTATTAAATAGATGAAAACTAAGTTTTTGCTTATAAATATCTATGCAGTAATAACAGTATATTACATGGGAACTAGAAAGTGAAAGTGACCAGGACACTATTTAAAGTGACATGTTGGCCATGTCTTTTTTTTTAATAGTTCTACAAATGTAATCTGTCTCCCAAGATGAGAACATGAATGGAACTTTGAGAATTTGGCTTTGATCCTACAGTTGGATTTGTTTAGCCAAATCCGCATTGGAAATACTGGAGCTTCATGTGAGTGCAAGGATCTGCTTGTCCAGATACAATTGCAGAGTCAGAGCCAGATTCTCAGTTTGGTTCATGCCTTCCTCATTTGACTTTTTGGTTCACTTGAATTATGTCTTATCCATTCATTTCAGTTGGCTCTACAGCCAATTTAGGAGCAATCTGAAGGAGAGGTTGTGCCCTGTATTTGTTTCTTTATGATGTATAAAATACCTGAAAGGTGGTATGACAGAGCTCTTTATATGTACATTGTGAGCTTTTTAAAGCTCTTATTGAAAGGGACTTGGTGTCAAATCTTTACCAAAACAAAAAGAAACTACTTTTTATCTACCTGGGTGTTCAGGAGCTTTACTTAAATGTGGAACAACATGTTAAATAAAAATAACTTACTCTTTCCTATCGAGTTTCACATATGTTTTCTTTGATGTACTGCTTTATTTGTCCATTGACTCTCCCTTGGAAACAGTTATCAAGGATTGAAATTACGTTAAACAAAAAAGTGGACATTTTTGTGAGGGGAGAGGTAGGACATCTTTCTAATCTTATTTATACACATTAAAGAAAGAAATAGGGCATAACTTCTTTTTCAGGTCACCTTTACAGTGTCTGTAGAATCTATGGCCACTTTGACTTTAAAGATAAGTCAAGTGAATTTCATCATTACTCATACCAAAAGATGCTTCTATTTTTGAAGGTTAATTAAACCTGTAGGATGTGTTTCATTGTGCTTTTGTGTGTTTCCATAGAGAAATAGTGTAAGATAATACTAGGAAATCTATTTCACTCTGCGTTTCTAGTTATCTTGTAAAGCATCATTAACAAATGTTTGACTTTCTCATATTGGAACAGACTAAGGCAAGTTTTGATTAAAATAATTCATTCAACAAAACCAGAAATCCTGTTGAGTATGAACCCCTCTGATTAAGGGCTCATACCAAAACATACTTGGGTTATAAAGTTCCTGTAAGATTGGCAAGTAGTTAAAAGCATCTTCTAGTCTGCAAACATGGTTGTTGTTAAAAGTGGAAAACTTACTGCATTGTCTATTAGGTCAGGCAGTTTAAGCAAAATGAACATTGTACTTATGCCCACAGATGTATTTAGAACGTCAAAGCTAATTGTAAAGAGAACAGTTTTATGTACAAATGCAAGAAGGCCTGCATATACCTACCAAAAGCTGTAACTCTCCAAGAAGTTGTGTGGGGTTGGGTCTTTTAGATGTGAAGTGTTTTTGAATAATTAGGTTATATTGAACAATTCACTGATTCTAGAGAAGCTAGCCAGATACACACAGAAGACAAGCAAATTCTGGCACTACTAAGAAACATAAGTAAACTTGTTTGTTTACAACATATATTCAGTTTTCAAGGTCAATCTTTAAAAATGTCATTAAAATTAATAATTTACTTGTACTAATATTGCATTTTTGTGTTTTGATACTATTTCAGCATTCTTGCACTACTTTAGCATTTTCTTTTGAAGAGAGTAAGGGGGAATTGAAAATTTCTCTCTGTTTGGAAACATCACATGAATTAAGAAATGCAAAGAGCTACTTAAATTGGGTATTAATCAACCGTTAATCAACTAAAGGTGGTAATATGCAAAA